CTGATGCCACATTGGCCTGGTTTGTACTAGTATAAACCTACTGGCTTGGTTGGACCTGATCAATTCTTTTATGTATTTATGTAACTGCATTTATGTAGAAGTTCACCCTTTGCAAACCTGTAGGCTTGTTAACTTGCTGCTTATTAACTAGCTTTGTTCTCAGTAAAGATCCTTCAAGTCTAAGTTGTGTACAAGGAGTTTTACTAATCCAGATGAGAAACATAGCCTTTTTGTGTCATGGTTTATGTGTAATGATTATATCTTAAAGCTCTGAGGAGTGAAGCATCAGAAAATTACTAATCTGTGTTTGTTCAGAGGTGCTGGCTCTCCAGTTAGAGTAACAGAAAATACTCTTTAAACCGTTGTATGGAAATAAGGGCATCTTGTCAGATATGACTGTCAGACTTTGACTAAATGATGTAATATTGCAATTTCCATTTTCACAGTTTGACATTTTCATTTATTTCTCACTGAGATATAACACTCAGAAGTGCCTGGACTAAGTTGTGGTTTGGGTTTGGTTTTCTTCCTCTTGAGTAATTCACCAATAACAGTTTTAAAGAGAGTTTGCTTTTACTTGCTGTCTTCCTACACTTTACAGAAAATTTAAGGGGAACAAATAAATGATTTTGAAAGTATAGCTAGGAAAATATTTTCATCTATGTGGGGTAAGCTAACTCATGGTGAGTGATCTTTTGATTGTATGCAGTGGTTACTGCAAAAAATGTATTGTGAGGTATGTTATATTCTTAAAGCTAAATTTTCTTCAGGATACCAAAGGTATGGGTTGTTACGTTATGTTGTGCTGGGAATCCAGAGATTTCTGCAGGGATCCAATTTCTGAGATCTCGTTTGTGGCAGCGCAAAGGAGAGGAAGTGACAAGGACGTTGTGGATGTATGCATTAATCACCAGCCTTCTATTTCTGTGGTGCAAATGTTACTCCATCCTATTAGTTGCAGGATCCTTTATGCTGAAAAGAGTTGGGGATGTGTGTGCCTATTTGCTTTCATTGCCAGCTAACATCACAATGATGAATAATGAGATTTTAATGATGTCAAAATTATGGCCTGGAAAATCTGATAATTTAGCATCTGAGTTGACATCCAAGTCATGCAATTTGTTTTGATTAGTGAAGCAACACAGGTTTAACCTTGTCTACAATAGGTTTTTATCAAGAAGGCAAAAAAAAAAAAAAATCACACATCTTACTGACTAGACACATTTTAACACTTTTTATTGAGAATTGATTATAAGTCAATAGTTCCTTTGTGAAGCTTTACAGAAAGTCCATTTCTATAGTACTTTGACATCATATTGAAGGCTTTAATAGAACCAGAAATGTTCTAGGGGTTGATCACTTTCTTTCATTAACTGAAACTGTTTTCCAAGACCAACTCAATTTGATTCCCAAATGAAAACTTTTGAAACTAGGACCTCTACTAGGTTAGTCAACAAGGACCTGTCTTAACTAGCAATGTTAATAATTTAAGCAGAGAGAACATTTTTGTTAGTTTATTGATTTCACTTAACTGGCAGCTCAACAAGAGGGCTATAAGCCATAGATCAACTCAAATATTAAATTTAATTTTGTGAGAAAATAACACTGTTAATAATGGCACTTAACTAGTGCTCACTTTCTAGTATACAGTATATACATACAGAAACATACAGTACACGTTACTGTTCAGAGGTTTACATTTAAATGATACACTTTAAGAAATAATTTAATAAATTCTTTGCAAATTCTTTTTACATCAGTAGGCTGATTTTTATCTTGCATATATACAGTATTTTATTCCTATTTATTTAAATGTGAAATAGATAAGCCCCTATTTACAGTCATCAGAAACCCTCAGGTATGTGTGAAATGGAAAGGCCCCATTCTTGAGAACTTTGTATATTAAATATTTGTCCATAAAAGTTCTTCCATGTTTATGATACCATGTATTTCCTTAAGTATTTTAGTGCACTTACTCATCTGCTGTTTTTATATAAATATTGCAAAGTTCTTGCTTTTTGGGATACTGCTTTTTAAGAGATACCATGTGAGGATGCTGCAACTAAGTTCAGAATTTCCTTAAGAGAATAGCAGTCAGGCAGCTCCATGGCACAGTTTCTTTGAGGCAAGTGATATATCAAATTAATGCTTAAAAAAAGTTGGGTGGATATCAGTCTTCATTAAATTGTTAAAGTGGTTTGTCTATATGATTGCCATCACATTTAGTATGTTATCAAGGATGCATGCAAACATACTTAACTCTGCTGCAATAAAAAAATTAGAAAAAAACCAAAATTCAGATTTCAAGGGTAAATTATATAAAACCTTGTTCTTTCTCCATCTCTTAAATAGCAGCTTCCATTTTACTACACAAAGCCATTTGTAATGTCAAATGATTAAGTAAGATTTGGGTCATCATAAAGGAGTCAGTCTAATGAAGTAAATGTGAGTGGTGAATGGTACCAAGTGTACAAGACCAAGCAGGGATGGAAACAGAGGAGCCAAGTAAAAATTAAATAGCACAGAGAAGTGAGAAAGATGAGAGAAAAAGATAAATGATAAAAAGAGCCCTGATCTGAAACAGGGAATTTAACATGGAGAGAGAAGAACAGAAACGTGACAGTCTTGTTAGAGACAGAAAGTAGGCTGTCTTAGGGGAAGGGGGAAGTAGAAGTAAGGAAGCAGCATGAAAGTTGACATTGCACTTAATGCTGCCTGTTCAGCCACACCGTCCTGGCAGTGTCCCAGTTCTGGAAGCCTCTATTCACACCAGATAAGCCAGTTCCTCCCTGCTGGAATTTTTCCTGCATAATGGAACGAAATTTCTTTAACAGATTTTACATGAGAGATTTAATGTGGTGCATTAGTAAACCTAATTTTCCTTAGATGGGAAGAAGAGAAGCCTATTTGCTTGACAGTTGTAAGGAAAGATTTATTTCTTAAGCACTTCTGTGTGGAACTGAGCTTGAATGCTCAAGATGTGTAGAAATTTGTAGAAAACCTCTCTAAGGGGGGAAAAAACCCCAACCAACCAACCAAATGGTTTTCCAAAGCAGCCAGTATCATGTCAGCATAGAGGCACTATAAATTGGTCTGTGAATCAGACATAATGATAAAGAAAGGCGGCTTCGTTCCGTAACATGGTTTTAATCAACAGGCACAACTGCAGTTGTGCTGGACAGTTTTTGTGTGGAGAACACACCATAGAAATAGGGCTTAAGGCTTAAAAACAATTCAGTAAAATATGAAAAGCTATTAAAAAAGTAAAGATTAATGGAGAGTCTTCCAGCAGGTTGTTAATAACTTAGAGATGCTTGTATATGAAGAAGATAAGCAGATGGCGATGAGAAGAAATTACTTGAATAACGTTGAAGAGAAGGGAAAAGATCTGAAAAGGCTGTTCCTCACCTGCTTCCCACTTAGAACTTAAGCATGTCTCTATGCTGACAAACCAGGACCAAATATCAGAGAAGACTGTGCTATAAGTGATGAAAGAGGTTCGATTCTGGTTTTGCTTCCATGTTTTTTCTATACCAGAGGCTTGAAAAGCCACAATTTTTGAGTAAAGTTATGTGGAATTTGAGTTATGTTGTGACAGATTAAGCAACAAAATGATTTTGCTGTTTGCAGGGCGAGTGACCGTGCTGCCCCAAACCAGGGGGAGAAGAGCAGTTTAACTCCTACCCCCCCATCATTAATAACGCAACAGCAGCATGGGGACAGGCAGTGCTTGGGTCAGTGTTTCGTAGTTTGCTCTTGTGGGTAACTGTTAATTTGCTTCCTGCAGCATGTTTGTGTTTCTATGTATTTCACATAGTAAAATTTGGCATTCTGGATTGGATTTCTTCATCCTCACTGTGAAATTCAGAATCTATACTTTTATTGTGTTTTCAAGAATCATATTGGGAGGCACTCCATTTCTGAGAGGTCAGCAAAAAGCTGATGCTGACCGGGACTCCTATATATTGCTCCCATTTTAGTCTTGTATGTATTGAAGGATACTGTATTGTTTCCAAACCTCCAGTGATGCCCTAGATTAAAGAGATTTTAATTTATTTGTTGCAAACATATCCCTTGAAAATACAAAATGTTAATCATAAACATATTTATTTTTAAGATAATTACTCTTATTACATGAACATATGTGGACCATAACACTTAGCCAGACATTCTTTACTAGTTAAATTTTGATTTAACTTTGTAAACCACTGTGACCTTCATTTTAATATGTGGAACAAACATCTCTCAGTTCCCTTAGAATTAGTTAATAAATATTTCTGAATTCTTGAAATGTTTTAGGATGCAAACAAAGAGCTGAAAAAATAAAACACATTTTTGTTAATCGTTATATCTAGAAAAAAAACAATTTACCGTAAACGTTAAAACTTAGGTTAGTTTGTGCGAGAAAATAATTTCTGAAAATGGTAAATTAAATTAGGCTTCTTTTAGAGGGGATTCAGTGATGGAGAAAGAAATTAAATAATTTATAATTAACATTTACTACTTGGACATGTATAATTGGATAACATGATCTTTAGTAAAGATCATCTATATTGTCTTCATTGAAAAATGCTATTTGCTTCATCAAGGATAGCACTGTTACTTCTTTGTACAGAAAATAAGGTAATACCTTTTTCTATACAGGATACAAGGTGCTGTGTTCTCAGTCAAGCCTTCAGTAAACTGCTTAGTGATTTCTTCAGACAGGAGGATCAGAGCGATGAAGACCGAGTTTATGCTTTGTAACCAGTTCAGTGCACTGAAAGTATTAGATGTCACAGGTCTTACAGCACAGAGGCCAGAGTCTCACAAGATTTCAGCAAACAATTAATGATTTGAAAGTTAAGACTGTTTCAATTAACTGTAATGGAAAGCTCCTTCTAGCCTCCTGGTGGGGACTCTCACGTTAATGACTCTGAGTGCCAACACAGCGGTATCGCAGTCCCGGGACTGGTGGGCTCAGTACTGCAGTAACAGAGCACCAGTGGGGTTTTTCATTCCTATGTCATAACTTGCTGTACTACTGTGCGTTCATGCGAACACCCTTGATTCCCACAGTGTATCTTTTTAAGCAAACGTCGTAGTTTGTTGGGAAAGTTTTTGTTGATGTATCTGTAGAGCAGAGGCATTACAAAGCTGCTTGAGAAAGCCAAGAACTTTGATAAAATCTTGGTAAAATGTAATATTCGACTGTAATTTTCATCTGCAATTCTTCCTTGTGCACTAGTAAATGTGCTTACCAAGAGAATAACGTAATAGGGTGTCCATAACGTGAACTGTGTACAGACTGTGGCAATCAAAAGCCTGTGCACCGATGGATCTAATCGTCCAGTGTCTTGATCCAGTGGTGTAGCCTCTTTGCGTATTCGCAAGATTAATATAAGTGCATACAGAACAGCGATAGCTGGTACAACATACCCGATAAAGACCATAATGGCATCTGCTGCTTCTTTGTTCTGCATCTTGGAACATTCGATTATTTTAGTGGATACATGATTGCAGACATAGAACAGGAGAGATGAAAAACTGGTAAGCATGGCACCACCCCAGATGAATCCACAAACATGTTTGGTATTGTACACACTTGACATGTAAGTTCTAGGTAGAGCACGTTCAATGTAGTAGTCCAGACTGAGTAATGTAGTAGAGTACATGGTAACTAAGGACGAGACGTTGAATAAAATAAGCAAGGTAATATAAACTTCATTGTTAGAATTCCAGATGGCCCATTTTGTATTGGCAAGACCTAGAAGGTACATTGGTGCCAGAGCGTTGATGATGAGACCAGCAATGGCGATGTTGACAAAGTAAACATCTGGCATAGTCATAGTAGCCTTGTTATAGAGATTGACTAGGACCAGCAAGCCATTGTAACAAAGGCCAATCGGGAAACACAGAATGAGGTAGAGTAGGGAAAAGATGGAAAGCACAAGGTGGAAGTCATGGCAGAGATGCTGGTCCTCACTGTTCTCCGTACTGTTGTTTAAGGTTTCACAGCTCCACATAGTGATTTTAGCTTTTGTGTCTTCTCCGCTGGTTACCAGCTTTTCTGTAGAGAGAGAAATAGTAAAGTTTTGTTGAAATATTATATTGTAAGTGAAATACAATGTCGTATGAAGAAAACATTTTAAAGATAGAGATTACACGTTTCACGTAACTGATCAATTTAAGGTCAGTGACTGAAATGCCTTTTGATCTTGTTAGTCTAGAAAGTCATTGGTGATTTAAAATTTCATGAGACTAGTAAATGTTCTGAAGTATTAATTTAAGTGAAATTAGCGGCAAATGAATTGATACAGACACTGAACACAAATAATAAACTGTACATCTTTACAATAAGTACCAATGTAATATACATGAAGATTAGTACGATGGTTTTCAAAATTATTGAACAGTACATTTTATATAGCTAAGAATACATAAGGGTAGCTGCTGAAGAGCTGAAGGATATAAGCTGAAGCACAAATCTTAGCAATAAGATGGAGAATAGAATTCTCTAAGGTGTTAAATAAGCTTTCTCTTGAGCAGATAGTTTCTTAGGAGGCACATTCAGGACAGTATGGTGGATGTAGACTGGATCACTGATAGAATTGACAAAGACTAGAGGGAACTGGGAAATGACGTGAAGGGTGTTTTGTTTTTTTTTTTTTTAATAGGTCAGTTTGTATTCAGATTTCCAACCTATAACCATTTAGTTCTGAAAAAACAATGGACCTCTGTAGTCTAGGGAACCTAATATCAGGGCAGCCTGACTTTCCAAAAAGGCAAGAATTAGCTATCATTTCCTCTCAAAATAGCTTGAATTCTTTAAAAAGTATGCTAGTATCAGTAGTCGTTGTCCAGCTACCTTGGCTTTATCGTCAGTAAAGAGATAACATTTTAACTGAAATCACTGAACGTTAAAGCAATTGTGAAAAGTCTCTTTCCAAAATGCAGAAATAAGTAATCTCTAAAGTTCAACTGAAAACATTCACAGCCTTAAAATCATGGTTATTATTCCTGACAGCCCATTTCTGGGACAGCGTAGAATGTATGCAGCAGGTGATTTCCCACGTCACGTGTACTCTGATACTGTCAGATACTCCGCGTTGTGTCATTTAAGTATTTAGCACGTATAGGAACGTATAAGTACACGTACCTGCATTCTTTCCAGAGAGAGAACAAGATTTAATCAAATCCACAATAAACATTGTGCAATTAAAATGAATGCTACTAGACAACATGCTATACTCCATGAACCATATGGCTAAATTACACAGTATGGGTTTTGTAAGCATACGAATATGCGGTTGCATCTCTCTAGTGCTAATCTTTTGACACTGCAGCCATAGTACAGAATTTGTTCCAGAATCACGTCAACTTCCATTTTTTATTTCCCACTGCAGTTGTTTCGTGTGCATTTTTTTCTAAATACCATAGCCTGTGCCAGGTATCAGGCTAAAAATACAGTAATTTTAGCTGGGCAAACAAATTTTTATTCCACTGTTGTATGTTGGATTTCCTCAGATAAGTGGCTTCTGTGGCAGTAGCAGAAGATGTGGTTCTGTTGTTTTCCAAGCTTTCTTTCACCTTAGTGGAAAAACTTACTTTGTTTTCTCAAATCAGTTCTTTAGCTGTAGTATTGCATATGAGTAGAAAGAATGGTATCTTTATGTTGTCTTTCAATCCTCGTACTATTTTTGAGCACTGAAAACAACCCAGTTTATTTTCAGGAAGCATCTGTTGGTTTAAGTTTTTAAGAAAGTACTGGGTTTTGGTTTGTTTTTTTAAAAGAAAAGCTGTTTTGCACAGTTGAAGGCAACCAAACTTACATCTCATTGAACTGTTATGACTTGATTCAACCAAAGCAGCAGACTGGAACTAGATACTGCAAATGTATGCGTTACAGTGAGTGCAAGGGTGACTAAGCACAGGCATGGATACAATCATGTAATGCCATTATGTAGGTTTATCCTTAAGCACGTAGCTTTGATTACTCCAGACTGAATTACATCAGCCACAGAATACTTGCCTGTATATTGTCTCAGAAGATGAAGTCTTTGCTACCATGCTTTATATTTTATAGAGAAGGGGGACGTCTGGTTTCACAAGTGTATTTAGTAATCATCCCTTTTTTCTTTGTCCTCTAACTGCAGTTAAATAAGACAATTCTAGTTTGATGATAGAAATGATAGGCAATTCATTGTGTTAAATAGTAATGTTATGAAATTACAAAACTTACCCCGAAATGAGCAAAAATAAAATCCAAAATAAAAATATTTTCTGAAGAAATTTTGCTGATGATTTCTAAACTACCAGATGAGGTACTTTTGCCACTGATGTAGAAATCACCCATTTTTAATTGTCACTTACCTGTGAAGGCACTGAACCTGTTTGCTGTGCTGTACGGGCCCAGCTCGGCATTTCTTACCCAGCCATGTCTTTTGTAATTGTAAAGGCAGTTGTGTCCTCGCAGACCATGTCTGGGTACGTCCCTAGGATGCTTCAGATGCAGCACTTTTACTCGATCAATCTAAACTAACCCCTTCTCCCGTCAAAAGTAGTAGCCTGACTCTGTTGCATAAGTAAATGCTGCAGTCCTCGTTTACTGTGGGCTGACTCAGCCTTCCCTAATGCTTCCCCTGGTCTTGTCTGCTTTTACACTTTTATCACATTGAAAACTAAAATCAGAACTTAAACTGTAGAAGGAACGAGCGTCCTGCCAGCTGCCACTCGCTCTCCAGGCTTCCTTTCCCACGGCCCCAACCTCAGCCTTGCTGTAAAGCCTCTTACCTTTAATTCACGTTTTACATTTCTCCGCGCTGTCGGATCCGCACGCGTTTGATAAGCAGCGTTTCCGAGGAAGGCAGGCGGCTGTAAAGCCCTGTCTCGTTTCTCATTGAAAACATGGTGCTCGCCTCTCGCCAGCGCCCGGGCAGCGTGCTGCTCTGCTTGCCTGCCTGTGCTGCACTTGTTTTTCCTCTATAAGTTACTCACAAGTTTCTGCTTGGCTTGGCAGGCAGCACGCCCCTCCCTTTCCCTGTTTACAGCCAGTTTCAAGAAGTGAGAGGCTGTGCTCGGAGGGGAGCGAGCTGCTGGAGCCAGCTCTGTTTGGTCTCCAGGTTTCGGATTTACTACTTAAAATATACGGGCTGCTGGAGCACACAGGTTTATTATGGTATTGTCATCCGTGCTGGGGTTCTCCGGGGACATTGGAGAGGCCGTTCCATTCCCTGCAAGCGCAATCAGCAGCTCTCGTTCAAGAGCGTGGGTTTTATTTTTAACCTGGGATGACAATATGTAGCTTTGAGGTTTTATTTTTATAGGCCTTACATCCTAAACAATCAGTATTTTAAAATTACTGTACTACGAAGTGCACAGGTGCTTGTGCTGCTTGCAAAGGTGAGCTAGCTTGTCGTACAAGCTAGGAAGGAAAGTTTTTGAGTGTTTACTTTGAACTTGGAGATTGTTTTGGTGTTGTAAAAAGGCATTACGACGTGAACCTCATTTGGTGATGGCATTATGGATTCCATTCTGTTTCCTTTTTTAAAAAAGTTGATGATGATTCTCAATATTTGCATGTCACTCACAGTTAATGAATGTGAGTGTGTATATTCTCTACACCTTTAAAATGGATCATTTCTTGAAAGAGTTGTTGAACTGTCAGTTGATAATTTATCCCATACTGAATTTTGTTCTGAATTGGTGGTTCTGTTGTTTGTATGGAAACTCCTCAGGCTAATGAACTGAAGCTATTACCTTCGAAGTATGTTTTTAACTGATAGCGTCAACCAAAACCAACAGCTGCCTTACTTTTTCGAAACAATTTGTCTTATATTTAGAGATTCTGAGGCTTTATTCCATAAAAATTGAATTAATTAAAACTAATTAAAAATTAGGCAGGTGTTTATGGAATAAATACCAGAGAAACACTAAGAATGACTACTCAGTTTGTGTTGAGTTCCTCCATCTGACTGCAAGTTGTGGTTTTCATTTTTGGCAAGGCCTGCGCTTCTTAGTTGGTATTTAGCAATTCATTACGAATATGGTAAAAACACTGCAACTCCAAATACAGCAAGTTCCTACGTTCCTATTTGTTACTTAGGCCACAGACAGAACTGCGTATGTGCTATGGATAACTCTGTGTTACAGACTGGCATCAAGCCTTTGCTGCCTCAAACCTTTAAAAGGACTTTAATCATCATGACTTCACTGGTGAAACAGCAAAGTGGAAGGTATTAGTGGAGAGGTACTTCTAGAGTTCTGATACTTGGCCAAAAGACTACTTCTTTACATGTCATGAAAGTTGAAGGTGATTTTATTTGGATAAAAATTTGCATAAAGTACTTAACAGAAACTTCTTACAGCACTGCACAAAAAGCTAAGACCACTTGGTGGCAAAGAGTATTTTAGAAAAGATGCATAAAATGAACTTTAATGAGAAAAAATGAAGTGCTGCTTAGTTGTATTACAGAGTCAGTTTTTTCAGACATTTTCATTCATAATGCAGCACCAAGTTGCAGAGCAGGTTGGTTAGCAGTTTCAAGCATGACCATTCTATGCTCTGATTATTTTGTTTGATGTAAAAACCAAAAAACAAACCAACCCAAACATTTATCCAGCTGTAGCACTATCTCTTGCTCTGCAGATTTTTTTGTGTAGACAATAAATGATTTGTCTACTTGTAATCGTCTATATGTGCAATAGCTCTTGTCGGGATTATCTAACCTCTGAGTATGTGTTTTTTCACAACGTGTAATAATCATTATAAACCATATGTAGCTAATAAAGCTGTTGCCAGTGAGGTAAGTCTCTAAACAGGCCTAAGACTCATACCTTCATCAGGTCTTCTAGAGTTCCCACATGATCTCTTAATTCCTGCAGAGACTGAAACCCGAGGGCTCTGCCTAGGGGAAGGCTGAGGTTGTCAGCTACTCATCAGGGTTTGAAAGATGCTTTTTGAAAGTGTCATGCTAAATATTACTTATGGATTGATTCTTAAAACTTTAAATAATGGATGATTGGTATTTCTGGAAAACAGCATGCCTGCAATCAGTTGTACCTCACTCA